CTTCCACGAGATACGTCGTTTGTTGGTACCATTGACCATGACCAAACCACGCGGCCGATGACGTTCCGGAATCAAGTGCATCACCTGAACGTGTACTACTCCGGAAACACAACTGGCAAGACAGATAAGATGTGCCGACCCCAACGAAGATGGAACCTGGCTTACATGTGTCACTTAAACAATACACTACATAACAAATTGTACGAAAATCAGTCAAATTAGGGCGAAAGGAAATCTCAAGGTTGATCACTTCACAGGCGCAAACCGAGATAAAAAGAGCGTCACATTCAAGATGTTCCCGCGTCGAATGCTCATATGTAAAACCTCCTCAATAATCGTGTTTTTAGGATAGAAACTTCCACCCCCTACACTCGGTGGGATAAACGCGGAAACACGGATAGACAATTCAGTTCAGATATACAGGATCAAGGCGGCAAAAGTTCCAAAAAGTAACACGCTCCATCAGTTGGATCAAAAGAAGTTATGAACGTAGTGCATTGACACGCCAAAGCCACCCGCAGCACACCAGACACTCCTAAAAGTGAACACAACAATTTGCTTGTTATTTGTGCCCACACGAAGTTCGACAAATCCATAATAAGCAGTGGCATCCAGTACATCCATTTGGATTGACCTTGATATGCAAGTGACGCCGGTGAGCTATTTTTTGTACCAGTACACATGGTGGGTCGAGCCGGTTGTGCGATAAGTTCGATGACGGGTAGTGTGACCAGTCAACTCCTGAAAGTATATTGTGGAGTTAGTAGGCAATCGATTTACGTTATAAGCTCTGGTGCAGCCTTTCCTAATAATGATCATCCGTTTTAAGTAGAGAATACCAGTCCTAGGATTTACGGTCGCAGCACATCGAATGCAACCGATCGGGACAAGAGCCAAATCTCGATGAACAGGGAACGGGCCTCGGGCGATCATTTATGGAGGCGAGAAAACTGTAAGAACCAAAGGGTAATTGTACGGTGAAGAATCCTAGACCACGCCCAGCAGCCCAGATCACGAGACGAGGTCCGAGTCCATCCGGCGAAAGCATATTCAACAACCGGTATGGACGGTTAGACCGATACCTGATTCCCGTGCAACCTCAAGGTCTGGATATTTAATACACCTCAAAGTGGAAAACAATGACCGCGCAAATTTACAATAATTGTGCTACAGGTACCTACATAAAATCGATACACTTATATCATCGTGAACCGC